AGGGGATTCAAAGAAGGGGAAGTTGTCAGATTTGCTCTTGAACTTGGAGGTGGGTGAGCAGTGATACTGGGAAGGGTAACAGAAGAAACTGAAATGTGAGGACAGCCTGGATGCCTGGGCTGGGTGGGGGGAAAAGCACTTGGCTAAGTCTCCTGTTCACACCTGTGCAAAAGCTGGTTGGTTGTTCTTCACCTTTCAGTGACCCAGAGGCTGTTACTGGTTGAGCCTCTGGAAGAAGCTTTTGTCAAACTCCGAAGTGCGGATTATAATGGCACAGGAGGACAAAGCCCTGATGATCCTTGGGAGGAAACCTGCAGAGAGACCCCTGGTGCCAGATTCAGCCTGAATACTCCAAGCAGAAGCTGAGGTCAGAGCTAACTTTTGGAGGCTTCACTCTCACAGCATCCACTGCTCCCAAAGCTGTCTTGTCGCTGTGTCTTCACCACATCAAAGGATAGAGTAAGCATGGAAGGCACCATTCCTGAAATGCCACAAACCACAAAAGCTGACTCCTACACATGTGTAGTCTCTTGGTCTTAGCTCATTCAGCCAGCTTTTCACCATCTCATAGTTGAACCACTACAGAGCTGGAAAGGTCACATCTTGAAGGGTTGTGCCACCTCAACCCAGTCACAGTGAGTGCCATTCCCTGCCCCCTGCCACCACAGCTTGAACACAGGTAGCTAGCTTCCACTAGGACATGTACTGAGCCTGTAGCTTGGTCTGCACAAGCTCTAAGGGGGCAGATCCCTGTCACAGTGTCCATGTAGGTGAGGGCACCAGCTACAATAAAGTAAAAGAAAAATCAGTTTAAAATATCAAAACAAAACAAAAATTGAAAAAATGGAATCCACTTTGTATTTATTGGCTAGCCACATTGAGCATGGACCTGCCCTTGCATATGGTTGATATACCCATTAACAATCCATTAGAGAAAACTGATTTCACTTTCACAGCGGGTATCAATTTATAATAGCTTCTTGGTTGGGGTGAGAATTTGTGTCTACTTTCCCTTCTCAGTGTCTCAGACTTTGAGATTGCTTATTATCACTGTATGAGGATTTATATATGATTTTGGCTGTAGTCTTCTTTTATGAACTTGGGTGTCCTTGTTTTGGGTTTATAAATGCTTAGAATTGTAATAAAGTTTTGGTGGATTTTTCTTTTAATGATTTTGTAATGTTCTTCCTTATCTCTTTTGATTGATTAGCTTCAACCTGAAGTCTGTCTTGCCAGGTATTAAAATGACTACACCTGCTTGCTTCTTAGTTTCATTTGCTTGGAATACATTTTTCTATTATTTTACCCTGAGGTTTACCCTGATGTCTGTCCTTGATGGTGAGTTGTGTATCTTGGATACAGTGGAAAGATAGATCTAGTTTTCTAATCCAAGCCTAGTCTTTGTCTTTTCATTGGTAAATTAAAATCACTGATATTGAGAGCTATCTATAAGCAATGTTTACTGGATCTCTTATTTAATTGTTATAGTTGGGTTTTCTGCCTTATTTGATTTATTGTTTCTGGGATTATTTTTTCCTGTGCCTTCTCGAGCACAGTTAACCTCTTTAGATTTAAGTTTTCCTTCTAGTGCCCTCTGTAAAGTTAAGTTGATAGACAAAAATTGCTTAACTTTGCTTTTATCATTAAATCTCTGGCTATTGTGATTGATAGTTTTGGTGAGTCTGGGCTCATACCTGTGGTCTTTTAGAGTCTGCAGCACATCTGTTCAGGCTCTTCTGGTTTTAATAGTCTCCACTGAATGCACAGGTGTTATTCTAATAGGCCTGCCTTTATATGGACTTGATCTTTTACCCTTGTAACTTTTAACCTTTTTTTGCTCTGTATATTTAGTGTGTTGATTGTTGTGTGTACTAAGGAGTTTCTTTTCTAGTTCTATCCATTTTTAGTTAGTTTGCTTCATATACCTTGATAGGCATCTTTTCATTTAGATTGAGAAAATTTTCTTCTACAAATTTGTTGAATATTTTCTGTGCCTTTAATCTGAGTTTCTTCTCCTTCCTCTATTCCTATTATTTATAGATTTGGCTTTCCATAGTGTCCCAGATTTCCTGCATGTTTTTTGCCTAGGTAATTTTTTAATTATCATTTTTATTTACCTGAGACTCTGTCTTCCATGTCTTATACTCTCTTAGTGAGGTTTCTATTTAAATTCCTAAATTTTTCATTCCTGGTTTGATTCCATTTTTACTTTTCCTCAATGATTCATTTCTTTGTTAAATTTTACTTTCATGTCTTGAATTGTTTTCAATATTTTATTCAACTTTTGTTTGTGTTTTCACAGTCATCATTAGGGTTTATTTATATCCTAGTTAACATCTTTGAACATATTCATAGCTGGTATTTTGAAGTCCTCATCTTCTGCTTTGGCTAATTTGAATTTTTGACTCTGTGTGTGTGTGTGTGAGTGAGCGTGTGTGTGTGTGTGTGTGTGTGATGGTTTGCAATAGCGTTGTTGTATGACTTGAGAAATGAACATCCATCTTCTCTTTGCATCATTTTTTTACATTTCTAATAGTAGATAATGTTGTGTTTTATAAAATCAAAAAGAAAGCCAAGGATATGTTTGGTGGAGACGCAATATAATGTGGGGAAAGGGGTTACCTCTGTGGTCACATGTTGAGGCATCCCCTCCCCCTGAGCCACGCAATGAGTAAATGAGTATAGTATAGAATAGAGTTTATTTGGGGCATGGGGAGGGGAGTTGATGGGATAATAAAGACAGAGAAAGGCAGAGAGAGAGAGAGAGAGAAAGAGAGAGAGAGAGAGAGAGAGAGAGAGAGAAGAGGAGTAGAGTCCAGCCATGAGCACATAGAGAAAGAGAGGATGAGGGGGAATGGGGAGAGAAGGGACAGAGGAGAGAGAGGGTAAGAGAGCAAGAGAGATACAGGAGAGGGGTCAAGCAGCCCCTTTTATAGTGAGTCAGGCATGCTTGGCTGTTGCCAGATAACTGTGGGACAGAGCCTAGAAGAAATGCTAACAGATAAAAAGGCATTACCACAGAACTATCAATTTTACTTGTTGGACTTTCTCCAAATAGGCATCTTGTTTAGCCTGTTATAGTTAAGAAGGTTATCAAATCAAATTCTTTTCATTAAGTCTGTACCACTATAATATCATTTCTACTTTTGTTTCAGGAAGTGTTTAAATGAGGTTTTCACCAAAAGTTGGGAACCAAAGCTATAACTCTATAAGCTTTGAAAAATATTGGCCAAATTATCTATATGGAAAAGCCTGGCATCAAATGCAAAGCAGTTATTCAAACTTGTCTCATTGTCCATGCTACATCACATATACTAAGATGTTTTCATGTGAATTTGGCTTTTCCCAGGGTGATACTTTTAGGGTAATTACACTTCTTAGGGTGGCATCCTTCCACAATTCTAGAATCAGCAACTGTCTGCCCCAAAACAAACATGGTGTTACTTATTTTATTGACGATAGCAATCTCAGGGCCCACTCTTATTCAAATGGGTAAAAAACAGATTCTCTCCCTCAGTAAGGAGTCACAAGATCACATTTAGATCATGTCCAGCTGAAAAAAAAAAAACAGAACAGCACTGAAAAACACTTTTGGAAAATGTAATCAGCCAGAGCCAATTTCTAAAAGTGAGGAAAGAATATGAACAATAAATTCTGAGTCTCATAGGTCCATCCAATCTCCACTTATCTTCTGCTATCGTATGCTGAGTGGGCCAAAATAACTTCCTGGGTTATTAAGGAAAAAAATGTTAACTTAGAGCCAAAATGCAATAATTCCTATAAGATGCATGTGTTTTCCTTTTCCCAGTGGCTACATTCTGTGATAACACATAGAGTCTTGCAATGGACTCTCACTGACAAGTACTAGAGGGAAAACAGAAGCAGTATTGAAGATGCCTTTGCAAGGTTGTTTCTTATAGTCCAGAGCCTCCTCTTCATTCACAAACTGTAAAGAATAGCTTTTATACTAAAGATAATGTTTACCTGTCACAAAGCTCCAGTAATATAGATCTAGTATTGTGGCCTTAAGAACACGGGCTTCTATTAACACACAGCTCATACTTCATGCTGCAAAGTGGGCATTCCTCGTCCAGTTAGTAGCAGAAATTGTAACTGCTATCTTGACCTAATGAATTTTGCCAAAATTCAGTTACAGCCTATCTCAAGCTGCAAATGAAGTAGCTATGTAGCCAGTTAAAATTCATGGGTTACATAGATAAAGTTACTACTCCTCATCAAGAAACTTCTCTTTGCAGCAAATGAAGACCATCACAAAAAAAAAAAAACCCTACAATTAGACACAATAAAAGAGATCAGTGGATCATTGGGAGCCTAGCACCATCACCTTCACATATCCTTCATCTGTGGCCCAGGGAACATCTCAGAAAAGAAAGTAGAAAGATGGTAAACCCCCAGAATACAAGTAAATCTACTATGAAACAGTTCCTCCTAGATATGGCTACATAAGCAACACCAAAAACTATAGAAATGGCAATGGACATACTAACATGGAAGGGAGAAATTTTAAGAGTCTTTACCCCTAGATAAAGAAATGCAGGTAAATGTTGACTGCTGGGAGAAGGAAATTTAGCATCTCCCAGGGATGATCCCCTTACTGGTTGCCCAATGCAGAGTGGTCAGCCTTGAAACCATATACATACAGACAACAAAAATGGACTCAACAAACAGGATAGATAGAAGATAGATAGATAGATAGATAGATAGATAGATAGATAGATAGATAGATAGATGGATGGATGGATGGATGGATGGATGGATGGATGGATGGATGGATAGATAGATAGATAGATAGATAGATAGATAGATAGATAGATAGATAGATAGATGCATATGTCTGTAACAAATACAATCAAAGAAAGAGGCTGTCAATTTGAGAGTGGCAGACATGGAGGGTATTTGAAAGAGAATAACTTAGAAGCCCGGCAGAAAGAAAAGGGAAGAAGTGTTGTAATTCAATTTCAATTAAAACATTTTTAAATCCCTCCTTGCAGTGTACAAAGAGACATTTTGTTGGTGGTCTTGTTCTTTTATCAGTCAGGAGCAAAGCAGATGGCAGTCCTTTGTTCATCCTAGCTTGATGCCTGGCTTGGTGATCAAAACTCTCTTATATCTAGGACTCATAAAAACCAAAACAAATCAAATCCAGGCAGTGAAGCACAGGAGGAGGAAGACAGACAGAAATCTATGAACCACCATGCCACTGACAGGCCTGCCCTCCAGTCCATGGCACAGACAGGCCACTGACACCCACTTGCCAGCACACCATGCAGTATGGATAAAGAATGTTACCCAGTGGCCAGCCTGAAGTGAGAGCCACCACAACGTGCAAGTATGTGGTGGTCAGATGGGAAAGAAAGAGAGTGGAGCAGCTTGAGGATTATGAAGAGAGATGGAACTAGAGACTCAAGGGTGGAGAGGAGTAGCCTGTTATGAGTGGCCAGCCCAGCCACCTAGGGCCATGGTGAAGTCCCAGACTGAGCTGCCACTGTAGAACATGCCTGGGTCTGGGGCTATGCAGCAACAGGAGTCAGGCTATGCATAACTGTCCCTGTCCCTGCCCCTCACTGGATGCAGTGCTCAGGAGAACTGGCCCCATCTCTCAACAGTGGCAGCACTCAGGAGAGCAGGTCTTGCACCTTACCTGGTGGGGGCAGGGTCAGGTGAGCAAGCTCGGAGGGTGAGAGCCCAGGATTGCTGGCCCCAAGTGTGATGCTTTGTCATCTCTGACCCCTCACCATTTGCAGTAGTATGGAGACCTGGCCTTGAAGTCATTAAAGCAAGAGAGTTCGCCCTGCCCCTTGCCAGCTGCAGCACCTGGGAAAGCAGGCTCTGCACCTCATCTTGGCAGCACAGTAGAGCTAGCCCTGGTGGAGGGGGTACAGGTGAGCCATTCCTGAAAATATCTGGCCCTGCTACTCATTTGGTGAGAGGTGGGATGGGTGCAGGTGTGATGCCCTCTCCCTCCTCCCCTGAAGTAGTAGGGAGAACTGACTCTGGGGTTATGAGAGCAGGAGAACTATCCCTGCCCCATCACTGGCTGTAGCACTCAGGAGAAAGGGTCCTACACCTTGCCTGGGCGATAGAGTAATGCTGGCCCTGATGGCAAAGACACAGGTGAGCCAACCCCTCACAGACTGCAATACTTGTAGGTGTGGGACCCAAATGTTGACTGGGCAGTGTGGGTTTGTAGGGTCCTGTGTCTGTTCCGCCACAGGGCACAGCCGATCTGGGAGGCAGTGTTAGTATTCTGTCTAAACTCCACTTCCACAGTTACCTAGCAACAGCCAGGTATGCTCCACCCCACAGTTACCTGGCAACAGCCAGGTAGGCCTGCTCACTATAAAAGGGGCTGCCTGCCCCCTCCTCTCTCTCTTCCTCCCTCGATCCCTCGCCTACAGGTTCTCCTCTGCCCCCTCCCTCCTTCCCTTCCCCCTCTCTCCACGTGGTCATGGCCGGCCTCTACTCCTCTATCTCTCTGCTCTCACTCTCTCCTCTCGCTCTCTTCCCTCTGCCCTGAATAACACCCCGCCCCAAGGAACCGTTTGATCTGGCATTATCTGTTTAAGCCAAGAGTGAAAATCTAACAATGGTGCCAAAACCGGGGAACGAAGACTTCGGGGACCTCGAGACCCATGCATCAACTTGCTCCAGCTGCTGTGACCATGCAGGATGGACGCAACGCCAACTTCAGCCACTGCTACACCACACAGACTTCATCTGCTGCTACCCGCCATCACTGAGCGTGTGAATTAACATCCACTGCTGCACACAAACTCCATCCGCCACTGCGAGGCTCGCCAAACTTCCACCGAATGAGCTGTGCTGCTGCGGCCGCCCGCGTGGTACTCTGCCACATGGGCTGGGTAGCAAGACAGGCACGTAGACCCCCCTGGTTCTACCTTTCCTGATACCAGACTGCACAAACTTGCAAACATACACCGGCATATTAATTGGTAAGGAGTTTCCGGTTGGCGGGAGGGACCCTGAATGCTCGGTTAGAACCTAGCCATAGTTTCCTGAACTAAGGGGTTGGCTTTTCATGGCCCCAGTCCATATGACTGGCCTCTAGCCAACCTATGACTTAGGACATTGGCCTGTTGGGTAATTTTTCACTCTCAGAAATAGCCCCCCCCCCCCAGCTCTCGCAGATGCCAGAAATCCTGGTACCAGGTGGCTATTTCCTGGCGGACTAGCTTCTGGTGGGCTAGTTCTGCCGAGGCCCTTAGATAATCTCATGACAACCTGATTATCTAGGCTGAGCCTGATTTTCGTTACCAGTTTTTATTTAGGGATGCTGACTGATAACTTGGTCACAGCCACGATCACCCAATGGGCACATCATCTTCATCCACACACACAGACACCCCACTGGGTTGTCTACTGAAAAACCTCAAATCTTTAAGCTAACGCCTAAGTTGAGGCCTTCCAAATTAATACGCCTCTGGATTCGATACCCTCTAGGTAATGGACTAACATGGCCACTTAATGACACACTGGACCCAATTATTTTAAGGAGTTTTAACACATACTGCCAGCAGTCTGGTAACTGGAAAGAAATTCCCTATGTTTATGCATTTATCTACCTTCATTATACTCCCTCCATGGGCTCTGCCTGTTTCCCACCCCAGGTTCTCTTAGCCATGAAACCTGCTCAACCTCACACCTCTTCCTAATCTTTCTTTTTTAATTAAACCAAAATGGGGGAATTGCTGTGACTCTAGTGGACATCTGCAGGTTCCATGCTCACTAGCCTAGCCTAGCCTAGAACTGGTAAGCCTCCCCATCCCCCACTGGCCAGAGTAACCGTCCACATGGTCCCAGGAAAGATTTTTTGAGCTCAGAGCTAACCCTGTCCTTCCCTGAACCTCGTTCTACATTGCTCCCCTTGGATAAGACACTTCCCCTCTCCTCTCAAGACAGTTTCTCATGGCTGAGTACCCCAGGCCAGGCCTGAACAGACTGTTCTCTCTGTCTCAGAAGCATTGGCTCCCAACTGTAGTCCCCAGTGTGTCACTTCCACGGGTCAGCCTTTCGTGTGCTACTTCCCCTCCTCCCCTGCCATCTGCAGCCACCTGGACCCACTCAGTTCTGTCGGTTTGCCTAGAAAGCAGCAGTGGTCTGGGACTCTGCTCGCTCCCTTCCCCCTTTGCCTCCTTCGTCATTTGAGGGCCAACTGGACCCATTTAGTTCCAGCGCCTTGCCTGAAAAGCAGCGGTCTGTGACCCTGCTTGCTCCCTTCCCCTTGAACCCTGCCAGGGACCTCTCTGAGACTTGCTTCCCCATGTGCGCAACCACCCACAAAAAGGGCTTGGTGGCCTGAACACTCGAGGGAAGCTCGCTCCCTCTCCTTCTCTACCCGAGACCTGTAAAGTGAGTGCTAGCGGTGCCTTGAGCCACAAAAACAACTAACACAAATGTTGCTGTGATACGGGACACGCTTACTTTTCCTTGCCCACTCAAACTCTAGCCACCAGAGACACTGGGCAGTGACTTCCGGCTGCTAGAAGGAAATCCTGCCCTGTCACCACTGACAACACCTGTGGCTCACAGCTCCAACCCACCAGTCATACAATCCAGCTTTCTTATTCTGGTCCTAGCTAAATGTTTCTGTGCTCATACAAAAATGTGCTTTTCGCTGCCTACACAACCCGCCAAAGTTACTTAAGACAGGATAGGAAAGGCTCTGTCTTGATAGATTTTTACTGCTGCTATTAAATTCTATTCAGTTACAACCAATCCTTATGGCTCTCAATCTTGTCAGAAGTCTGCTAATAGTATATTTAAGTTTATGGCCAACAGCATTCCCAAAGCCTCTAACAGTTAAACCAAGATGATTTCAGAAGACATGGACACCAGAGACCTAGAAGATACAGCCTGGATTGTATGTGATGATATAGTCACTAACAAATGCAGTGGGCTAAACTGGATACCCTGAGTCAAATGACTTGGCTAAATCAAGGTAAGTCATTTCTCATGTCACACGTATCCATTCCACAGAGAAAAAGCCCTGCGTCTTCTACGCTTGGAAGCCAAACTGACTTCACCCAAGAGACTATGGAGACCATGGGAACTGTTGGCTAGTGGACTCTGTCATTTTTAAAAATAATATATAACTGGTAGATTATTGTTTACTCTTTCTCAGACTTCTGACTACATTGACAGCTAAGCTTCCACAGACATTATCTGTTACCTCATTACCTAAACTCAGTTGCCATCAATTAAATGCTTCATATTTCCTCTTCTTGATATGCCACTGTCCTAAATTATCTGAGTCCCTATAAACTTGCCTAACTAATAAAACATTCCACTATACGATCCAACAAAGGCTCATCTTAAAGACTGCTTATGTTGTTAACTCATGCTGTTATCTCTTTTGTAAACTTATAAGCTACAGGAAACCCACTCAGATCTACCTCTCATGGACCAAATAGATGCCATCCAGATAAGTACATCTGCCTAAAGTTCCCACTTACTACCTATTCCAAAGGGTGGGATCCCTCTGGGTTTCAAATGTACATCTTAGAAAAATTACTTTCTCCCGAATGTACTTAATCTTATTCCTTACATCTTGTCAAGTCCAGGCATATCCAGGAAAGCTCTAAAGAAGTAACGTCCAGATGCTTCATCTACTGCCACACACACAGCTGCTTCTACTGGACCTGTTCCTTCTGATCTATCCTCAGATGGCTCCATAGACCCTGGACAGCAGGACCAGACAAACATCCCCCATACCCATTCTTCTAGGTTCCCTCTAAAGACACATCACCCCCAATGCCAGCAGGAAGTAGCCAGATATCACGAGGACCCTATGCCTGCTTCGCTGTCATCTCTTTCTAATTTTCTTTTTTAATTAAACCAAAATGTGAGAATGTTCTGTCTAAACTCCACCTCCACAGTTACCTGGCAACAGCCAGGTATGCTCCTCCCCATAGTTACCTGGCAATAGCCAGGTAGGCCTGCCCACTATAAAGGGGGCTGCCTGCCCCTCCTCTCTCTCTTGCTCCCTCGATCCCACACCTACAGGTTCTCCTCTGCCCCCTCCCCCTTTCCCTTCCCCCTCTCTCCACATGGTCATGGCCAGCCTCTATACCTCTACCTCTCTGCTCTCTCTCTCTCCTCTCGC